TTTACCCTTGACTAAAAATTAAAATACTTATTATTTTTATATAATTTTATATTTTAAAAGGCTAAAAATAATTTTTAAAAATTTAAAAATATTTTTTGATATTTATTTTATCAAAATATTTTATATTTTTTGATTTTTTTTTTAAAAACAAACCAAACATGGCCTTTGTATTTTGTATTTTTATTTTGCTTTTATTTATTTATTTATATATATTTTTTTAAAACCATGTTTATGAAGAAATTTTGATAAAGTAAAGATTGTGAAGAAACATTGATGGAGGGAAAGATTAGAAAAGAAAATAAATATAATTGTAATCCTACATTCATATATTTTCTTATCTAATGTAAATCAAACAATAGATAAAGAAATAATTTATCCTACTAATTCAATTAAACAGTGAATACCACGAAGTATGCTCACAAGCTTTTCGACGGAGTTCCTCAACCAAATTCATTTCTTTGGACATCAGTGATTCATAGGTATGTTGAAAATTTTCAATACAGAGAAGCTCAGCCTTCTATCCAGGTCGCGAGGTGAATCTGTGGAACCTTTGAATTTCACTATTTGTTCGGTGCTTAGCTCGACAAACAAGATTAAAAATAGAGAGGCAGTTTTCAGGTTTGTTTGAAATTATGGATATGGGTATATGATTTGATAGTGCAAAATGCGCATAAATCAATAATTTACTTACCCCCTCTGTGACGAATCGTTTCAAAAAAATATTTTTGATTATTATTTTATTTATTGTTTGATTTTATTCAAAATTTTTTCTATTTATAAGTAATAACATAATAAGAAATAATGATATTGATAATAATTTTGAGATGAGAAAGAAAATAAAGAGAAAATAATTAAAATTTGAAAAAAAAATAAAGAGACTTGAATCTGAAGAATACATATAAGTGATTAGGGTATACCATGAGAAAAAAAATTTATTTTAAAGTTTAATGTGCATTGTCTTTATTAATAAATTTACGTTACGATATAATAAGAATTAAAATTTTAATTAAATGTACTAAAGCAAATCTTTAATGTTTAAAATTAATGCACAATAGAAAAGAAAATTCCTAAAGAAGTGTAATGAAAATAACAGCTACAATGACGACTATTTCAATGAAAGATCTTTTATTGCGATGCAATTTATGAAAAATTGAATACGTAATCCAATGAGTGATTTTTCTCCTTTCAAAGTGATGGTTGAATGAATGGTTATTTGACTTAGATATATTGAGAAAAATATATTTGTTAACTCAACTAATAATAGTGATTTAAGAAACGAAAAGTCGCTCTTAACAATCATATAAGTGTAGATTTCTTGCTTTATTTTTGTTAAAGTAATAGTACTAATGTCTCAAAATTTGTTTTTATAGATAATTTTTTGAAAATAACTGCTGCTGATTAACTATCAAATTTTTTTTGAAAATTTGATTTTATATTTGTTAGCCCAACTAATAATAGTGATTTAAGAAATGAAAATAACTGCTGCTGATTAACTATCAAAAAATGGTGCCACTCAAAAAGGCGGTGCTTCCTTGTGTTCATGGAAAATCCATCCCTGAAAGGTGAATTTCTGTGAGACCCACCTTGTTTCATTAAATCTAACTTTGCTCAGGACTCGCAAGAAAGAGTGAGAGAAGGAGAAATAAATTATTTTTTTTTCTAAATAAGTAAAATTAATTTTTTGTGATAACAAAAATTTAGTAAATTTTTTAAGTGTTTTTTTTTTCCCCAAAATTTTTATAAATATAAATAGAAAACTATATATATATATATAAATGTTACTAAACATGTCATTTCTCCTTAGATGCAACTGTAAACAAAAATTCATTTGATATTTATTTTCTTTTTCACAAATTGTGGTGACCGGTCATCACCTTGGAAGATTAAAAAGTAATGATAGAGACCTCCACAAAACGCAACCTCCAGAATCTATAAAATGATTTGAACCATTAATGTCATTGTCAGAGATAAAAAAAAAAATTCAAATACATCAATAGTCAATACATCAATACTCATCGTAAGAGTCCTGCTTTGTGAGAGTCTCAAACATTTTTCGAAGATCAAATTTGTGATTATCAGGCACTGCGTCTTGCATCTAACAATTACACCTCCCACCAGCCAGCAACTAACTACCTCCGACAGTCTACAACAACTTCCCACCATCATATTTGACACAACACGCCCACCCCTTTCACTTTGTTCTAAAATGTTCACATGTTTCCAAGATAAACCTAGAAGGGGGCAAGAGAGGACGATTCCCTTAAAATTTCAATTAAACTTTTTATATATTAGTATTTGTTATTAATTATTTTTTAAATTATACATATTCGTCTCTTGTAAGTTTTAAAAAATATTAATACTGTATTTAGTTGAGAAATTTGAAAAAGAATTTGAAAAGAAAAATGAAAAAAATAGGTGAAATATGAATAAAATATACCTACATTTCACTTAATTTTACACATTTTTATTCTTTCCCTTTCCAAATTTTTTCTCAAGTCCCCTAAGTAAACACAACATAAGTGGTTGCACAACTCAAACTTTTATGTCTACAAGTAATGGGGTTTAGAATACAATATTTAACAATTCGGATAAAATATAACAAAAAATTAGTCTCTCACAATTAATATCATAGATTGTCTTACAATTGTTATATTTTGTAATTCAAACATTAATATAAGAAAATATACATACATATATATATGTATATATATAATATTATTTTTAATTTTGATGCAAGTAGAAATTGATATTATAATTTGTACTTTCTTTAAAAAAAATTGTTACATGTTCCCCCCACTATAGAATTCTGAGTATTCTTATGTATATCAAATATATTTTTTGTTTCATTAAAAAAAAAGTAAAATAAACAAGCATATTTCATATTTTTTTTTTAAAAAAAATGATTAATACACCGAATTTGAATTCGTCCGAATCGTTTGAATTTTATAAGCTAGACGATCAATCGGACAACTGTATGGACAACCGGTGCAACCTTTTGTCAACCGCAATTGTCACTCTCGTTAACGGCTTCTCCGAGATTACCTCGGCTTAACTACCAGGGCACGTGGCACCTCGGCTGACACGTTGGTGTCACCATGCCACGTGTTGGTATTCAGAAAACATGTCCCCACAACTGCCCCCTAGGTTCTATTACCTCGGCTTTCTGAGGTGATGGAACCTATTCCGATATTATGCCACTTCCTTTATGAGTAATGGCCCAAAAAGTTGTTTAATCGAGATAATCTTCTTCCGCCGACGTGTTCTCTTCGGAGAACAAGGTTTCGGTCGTACTCTCCCACACGCATGAGCTGTCATGCATATCCAATTATTTCTTTTACGTGTTTCGTCTTTATTGGAGCGTGTTAGTGACGCGCCTGAAGCTGCCCGTTCATTTCATCTGCGCCGTCTGACGCGTGCGTTACCCTAGGCGCAATGATTACCCTAATTTTGCCGCCGTTTCACATTTTTGACAAAACTTTCCTTTTGCCTTTATCTCTTCTTCACTTTTTCATTCCGTCTTCTTGCTCTTTCTCTCTCTGAAAGTTCTTCGTCATTGCTTCGATCTCGCGTCTGGAACTGCTCTTAATCCCCCATTCTTACGAAGCCTCCCTTGCTGTCGCAACTGGTTTCTGGGTTTGGCGAACATTACCTCGGCTTCATTTGTCTTGGTAAGACCCTTTCTTTTAATTCCTCTATTCTCTCTATGTACTTTTATCTATCTGTTGCCATGACTGACCTTTGTTCGAGGTCTTGAGCATATTCGTATCTTGAATTTGTGGCTATGCTTTGAACTTCTATATTCTTTCATCATTCTCTTTACCTCTGTTCTTGATTTGTTTCTGTATCTCTATTGTTTCTGAGAACTACACCTCTGTTTGAATCTGAAACTTCGTCTCTGTTTTCTCTTTTTTTTTGTATCTTTCCCAGATCTGTGCCTTCGATTTTTTTTTCCTCATACTTCGTAGATTTGGGATTTGCCTGTAGAACCCCTAATCTTTAGGGAAACCTGAAAAACGCCCATCTTCTGAAGCATATTCCTCTTAGTTTAAGCCAACATAATGGGTATGTGGAGGCATAGGGTAAATACCCCTACAAAACTTGAATACTTTAGGCAAGAATTTTCTATCCCAGCCGATGTTCATCTTAAGCTGGCTGGGGATAATGATACCATCATGCCCACAGACCATACAATGCCTTTCCCTATAGTTGCTTTTACCGAATGTGGACTTCGGCTTCCACTTGATCCTCTTTTTCGTCAAGTTCTCAATTTCTATAAGCTGAACCCCATGCAACTTACTGTTAACTCCTATAGGGTGATCAATGGCATTATAGCCTTGGCTAGGCAAGAAAACCTTAGAATCACCCTAGCCGACCTTCAATATTGTTATACCATGTGCCCTCTTGACTTGAAGGATAGGGGTTTTGTTTATTACCTTAAACCGAGATCTACTCAGTACAAAATCGTAGCCGACCTCCCAGACTCCAACAAGGGGGCTGGAGATGATTTTCTCATTGCTTCTGGAAATTGGGAATTTGGCCCAGATGAAGATGTCCACCTCTATCCTCTTCCTCGAACAATTAAAGAGGGCAAGAGTAAGAGCCCTCATTCAACACTTAGTTGTTTTTATTTAAGTCCTTAAAACTTCTGTTTCTGACGTCTGTTTCTTTGTTCTGCAGATCTTCATCAGCCACCGAAAAATTTCCGTCAATCCTTCTTCCCAGGAACAGATCTGAAAAAACTTCTTGGCCTCCCAATCCTCAAACGAAAAGCCCCACTTTTACTAAATTTCATCCCTACATACAAGTCCACTTTACCCGACGTCCCAAGAAAAAGGAAGAAGAGTCTTTCTCCACCCACAGCCACAACCTTAACTGCTTCCACATCCCGAACTGATCAAGAGTCCACATCTGACCCCGCCGACCTTCCATCAACTTCGGCCCCTTACTTGATACCAATTCCTGAACGTAAACGCCGACGAAGGCTAGTAAAGACTGCTGAGATGGTTCGTTCAAGGCCTATTGTCCAAGATCTTCTCGCCGATCTCCCAACCGACGCCGAAGCCGCACCAGTGCAATCAATGCTTCCCCCCAAACCAAAGAAAGTGAAAAAGGCTCAGCCTAAGGCCAAGGCTACAGATGCTGAGGCTGAGGATGCTTTGCCGATTTCTAAACTTGCAGAAAGCAAAAGATCAACACCAAGAGGTCTGCTGAGGGCCAACCCTCAGGGTCTACACAAACAAAGAGGCCAAGGTCATCGTCTGTGACGACCTCGGCTTCGAAGAAGCCCGACGTCCCCTGGGCCCCTGACCTATCCCTGGAGGATAGGCCCATCATGGCTAGTGAGAGTACTGATGACATTAATGTTGCCGTCGCCCTTAGTACAGCTCTTCTTCTACCAAATGACTTGGAGCGAAATGCCAAGTTTAGTGAGTATGAAAATTACGCTCTTATGCTCCAACGCTCTGCTCAAGTAAGTATTTCTGTTTGTACTTTGTGATTTTTTCTTCCATTCTTCACTGAGAGTACTATCTCACATTTCTGTTTTTCTGCAGGCCATTCAGCATGCCCATTCATTTTCAATGCAATCCTTTGAAAATCGTCAAAGGTTGGTTGATATAAAAGCTCCGGCGGTGGTTCTTCCACCCGGGGGCACTCCGACGATCAAGTCAGTATATCTCTCAAAGATAATTAAGTACTAGACTGAATACTCAAAGTATGAATTGCATACCTTAGACCCATGGGGGTGCCTCTCTTTTATAATATACTCAATCCAAGTCCCACTAGAAGTATGACTTCTATGAGCTCCAATTCACTGCTTATTCTGGACTCTATAAGAGATGAAGATAAACTCCCTAAGAGCTTTATCTTTATCCAGGTTAAGTCCCCTTTTTGTCCTAGGACTCTTGCCCCTTATCTCGGACTCCGACATCTTCGGAGATGACCTCGGCTTCTCCGAGATTACCTCGGCTTAACTACCAGTGCACGTGGCACTTCGGCTGACACGTCGGTGTCACCATGCCACGTGTTGGTATTCAGAAAATATATCCCCACAACTGCCCCCTAGGTTCTATTACCTCGGCTTTCTGAGGTGATGGAACCTATTCCGATATTTTGCCACTTCCTTTCTGAGTAATGGCCCAAAAAGTTGTTTAGCCGAGATAATCTTCTTCCGCCGACGTGTTCTCTTCGGAGAACAAGGTTTCGGTCGTACTCTCCCACGCGCATGAGCTGTCATGCATATCTAATTATTTCTTTTACGTGTTTCGTCTTTATTGGAGCGTGTTAGTGACGCGCCTGAAGCTGCCCGTTCATTTCATCTGCGCCGTCTGAAGCGTGCGTTACCCTAGGCGCAATGATTACCCTAATTTTTCCGCCGTTTCACATTTGTGACAAAACTTTCCTTTTGCCTTTATCTCTTCTTCACTTTTTCATTACGTCTTCTTGCTCTTTCTCTCTCTGAAAGTTCTTCGTCATTGCTTCGATCTCGCATCTGGAACTGCTCTTAATCCCCCATTCTTACGAAGCCTTCCTTGCTGTCGCAACTGGTTTCTGGGTTTGGCGAACATTACCTCGGCTTCATTTGTCTTGGTAAGACCCTTTCTTTTAATTCCTCTATTCCCTCTATGTACTTTTATCTATCTGTTGCCATGACTGACCTTTGTTCGAGGTCTTGAGCATATTCGTATCTTGAATTTGTGGCTATGCTTTGAACTTCTATATTCTTTCATCATTCTCTTTACCTCTGTTCTTGATTTGTTTCTGTATCTCTATTGTTTCTGAGAACTAGTCTTTGTTCTCTTTTTTTTTTTTTTTTTTTTTTTCTTCCCCAGATCTGTGCCTTCGATTTTTTTTCCTCATACTTCGTAGATTTGGGATTTGCCTGTAGAACCCCTAATCTTTAGGGAAACCTGAAAAACGCCTATCTTCTGAAGCATATTCCTCTTAGTTTAAGTCAACATAATGGGTATGTGGAGGCATAGGGTAAATACCCCTACAAAACTTGAATACTTTAGGCAAGAATTTTCTATCCCAGCCGACGTTCATCTTAAGCTGGCTGGGGATAATGATACCATCATGCCCACAGACCATACAATGCCTTTCCCTATAGTTGCTTTTACCGAATGTGGACTTCGGCTTCCACTTGATCCTCTTTTTCGTCAAGTTCTCAATTTCTATAAGCTGAACCCCATGCAACTTACTGTTAACTCCTATAGGGTGATCAATGGCATTATAGCCTTGGCTAGGCAAGAAAACCTTAGAATCTCCCTAGCCGACCTTCAATATTGTTATACCATGTGCCCTCTTGACTTGAAGGATAGGGGTTTTGTTTATTACCTTAAACCGAGATCTACTCAGTACAAAATCGTAGCCGACCTCCCAGACTCCAACAAGGGGGCAGGAGATGATTTTCTCATTGCTTCTGGAAATTGGGAATTTGGCACAGATGAAGATGTCCACCTCTATCCCCTTCCTCGAACAATTAAAGAGGGCAAGAGTAAGAGCCCTCAGTCAACACTTAGTTGTTTTTATTTAAGTCCTTAAAACTTCTGTTTCTGACGTCTGTTTCTTTGTTCTGCAGATCTTCATCAGCCACCGAAAAATTTCCGTCAATCCTTCTTCCCAGGAACAGATCTGAAAAAACTTCTTGGCCTCCCAATCCTCAAACGAAAAGCCCCACTTTTACTAAATTTCATCCCTACATACAAGTCCACTTTACCCGACGTCCCAAGAAAAAGGAAGAAGAGTCTTTCTCCACCCACAGCCACAACCTTAACTGCTTCCACATCCCGAACTGATCAAGAGTCCACATCTGACCCCGCCGACCTTCCATCAACTTCGGCCCCTTACTTGATACCAATTCCTGAACATAAACGCCGACGAAGGCTAGTAAAGACTGCTGAGATGGTTCGTTCAAGGCCTATTGTCCAAGATCTTCTCGCTGATCTCCCAACCGACGCCGAAGCCGCACCAGTGCAATCAATGCTCCCCCCCAAACCAAAGAAAGTGAAAAAGGCTCAGCCTAAGGCCAAGGCTACAGATGCTGAGGCTGAGGATGCTTTGCCGATTTCTAAACTTGCAGAAAGTAAAAGATCAACCTCTACTTCAACCAAGAGGTCTGCTGAGGGCCAACCCTCAGGGTCTACACAAACAAAGAGGCCAAGGTCATCGTCTGCGACGACCTCGGCTTCGAAGAAGCCCGACGTCCCCTAGGCCCCTGGCCTATCCCTGGAGGATAGGCCCATCATGGCTAGTGAGAGTACTGATGACATTAATGTTGCTGTCGCCCTTAGTACAGCTCTTCTTCTACCAAATGACTTGGAGCGAAATGCCAAGTTTAGTGAGTATGAAAATTACGCTCTTATGCTTCAACATTCTGCTCAAGTAAGTGTTTTCTGTTTTGTACTTGTGATTTTCTTTTCTGTTTCTTTCTGAGAAAATTTTCTGATACTTCTGTTTTCATTCAGGCTATTCAACATGCCCACTCATTTTCAATGCAATCCTTTGAAAATCGTCAAAGGTTGGTTGATATGAAAAGGGAAGCATCCTCTATGAAGAGAGAGATCAAATCTCTTGAAGCAAAAATGAAAAAGTTGGAGGATCAAGCCGAGGCTGCAACCAAAGCTCAAACTCTAGCTCTTGAGAAAGCCGAAGCTGCTGAGGCCGTTAGAAAAGTTGCTGAGGCCGAGAAAAGAGAGGCTGAGGCTGGGAAAGCTCAAGCGGAAAAAGAACTCCAGCAGGCTCTGGCCACCAAAGAGGCCGAGGTCAAGGAGGCCGATGAAAAGGCTTATGCGCAAGGTATGGCCGACGTCACTGAGGATTACAAGCTTCAAGTCAGGCAGGCATGCAACAGGGATTTTCCCTTGGTTGGATGTCCCTGATAAAAAAACTTGATCTCCCTGTTGACTCGCCTTTCTGCAATGCCGATGCTATTCCTCTCCCATTTCCTCCTCTTCCACCTCCAAGTCAGGCCGAAGAAGAATCTGAGTCTGAGTCTGAAGCCGAGGATGAAGATGAGGCCTTGGTGAGGAAATCCAAGGATGCTACTGAGGCCAAGTCCCCTCCTCCAACTGAGCAAGTCATGGACTTAACTTTGGATGAAGAGGGTGATGAGGTTGGGGAGGCGCCTAGGGAAGTTGTTACCCCAAGGAGACTGTCACTGGGCAACTATCATCCAATCTTCTCTTAGTAGAAAGGAGTGTTGAGTCAACAATCGCTGAGATTGATGCCGAGATAGAAGCGGAGAAAGTGGCCGAGGAGATTCCACCTGAATCGTTCGAGGTCCCAGTTCCTGCTGTTGCTGATGCACAAGAGTCTTGAAAAATTGTCCTCTATACTTTTTTCCTTCTTTTTCTGTATTTTGTGCTTTGTATTTTCTTTTTACTTCTGGACAATGAAAAAACTCCTTCTGATGGCCGATGTGCCCCATTTTTATATGTAACTGGAACTGTTCCTTCTATGAATGCTTTTATCTTGTGATGTTCTGTCGACTGCTTTCCACATAGTCTTGTACTTAAAAAGGTTTTTTGCATGCTTCTTCATGTTGCTACCTTTGTGCAATCTTCTCGGGGTTTCATACCTCGGGTACAAACATAAAACTTTTACTTTGGCAAGTTACTAGCCTGCAAACTCTCTGCGGGTGATCATATGTCGGCTTAACATGAACTTGTAAATTGCTACAAATTTCAACATGTGTTAAGCATCTTCCCTGGGGTTTAGACAACCCACACATTGCTATTTAAGCAATAACCTCGGCCTATCTTTGACTTGTAAATTGTTACAAATTCTAACAGGTGAAGATAAGGAATCAGCTTAATTCCAACTTGTAAATTGCTACAAATTTCAACAAGTGAATTAAGGAATAACAACGGCTTAACTTCAACTTGTAAATTGCTACAAATTTCAACAAGTGAAGATAAGGAATCAGCTTAATTCCAACTTGTAAATTGCTACAAATTTCAACAAGTGAATTAAGGAATAACATCGGCTTAACTTCAACTTGTAAATTGCTACAAATTTCAACAAGTGAAGATAAGGAATCAGCTTAACCTAGCTTTGCCTGAGTTTGAAACATCCACGCACAACTTAATTAATCATGTATGCTGAAAGGATTCCGAAAAGACTTTATTGATAATATCGGCCATACAGTGATGTTTATCTAATGATAGAAGAATTTCAAATTACAAGTATTCCAAGGTCTGGGCAATGCTTTGCCCTCATTGTCTTCAAGCCGATATGCTCCATTGCCTAATACTAAAGTAATTCTGTAAGGTCCTTCCCAGTTTGGGCCAAGCTTGCCCTCCCTGGGATCCTTCTTGTTCCCGACGACTTTTCTTAGAACTAGGTCTCCAGCTTGAAATTCTCTTGGATTAACCTTCTTGTTGTAAGCTCTGGCAAGCTGTTGCTGGTATACTGCAAGCTGAATCGCAGCCTTCTCTCTTCGTTCTTCCAATAGATCCAGGTCTCGGGCTAAGAGTATGTCATTGGTGCCATTCTCTACTCCCTGGGTTCTGATTCCTGGGATGCCGATCTCCAATGGGATAACTGCTTCTGTGCCATAGGCCATGGCAAAAGGGGATTCTCCTGTGGATCTTCTCGGCGTAGTCCGATATGCTCAAAGTACGTTGGGCAACTCGTCCACCCACTTTCCTTTTGCTGCCTGGAGCCTCTTCTTAATTCCATCCAGTATTACTTTGTTGGACGCCTCTGCTTGCCCATTGCTTTGAGGAAAACTTGGTGTTGAGAAATAGTTCTTGATCTTGAATTTTGCACAAAAGTTTTTGATGAGCTTGCTGTCAAACTGTGTTCCGTTGTCGGCAACTATTGCTCTTGGAATCCCAAATCTTGTGATAATGTTTTTCCATATAAAATTCTTGACGTCCACATCTCGGATTTTGGCAAGAGGTTCTGCCTCTATCCATTTTGTAAAGTAGTCTGTCGCTACCAGCAAGTATTTTCTCTGCCCAGTTGCCTGGGGAAGTTGTCCAACCAGATCCATGCCCCATTGGGCAAACGGCCAAGGGCTGGATACTGGGTTTAGGTCGGCAGCTGGCTGATGTATCAAAGGTGCAAACCTTTGGCATTGTTCACACTTCTTCACATAGGCTTCGGCATCCTTTTGCATGTAGGGCCACCAATACCCTTAGGTAATGGCCCTATGGGCTAGCGATCTGCCCCCAACATGGCTTCCACAAATTCCTTCATGAATCTCATAAAGAAAATCTTCAACCTGCAAAGGAT